TAGGCGTTTGCAATGAGATTTGGTCGCCGTTTATATTCATTAATCTACTCTTTATTACGATATTTATCGCAATTTTATGTATTTATGTGTTGTTTAGTGAAATGAAATATTATTTCATTATAGTGTATACCCTATCGTTAGTAATGCTATTGATTTCAATGACATGTTTAATGCTATACTCGAGTACTGTTAACACGGAATCCAAGCATTCATCAAAATTGTTGCTTAAATTTTATTTGCAATTAAAAAACAATGCACTCATTGCTGTTAGAAATAAAATTAAGGTAATTTATCAAACTAATTTTTCACTAAGATCATTAAACATTTTAAATTTTGAATTTTGTATTACAGTTATTGTCATTAATAGAGAGTATGTGTGAATATAAAGTAGGTTTTCATTGCTGGAAACTATTTCTTGTCAATCAATTCCGTTATTATGAGGTATTGTTTAACATTTTAATAGATTTTTTCTCAACTAATTTATTACAACTAACAATTATTTACATATTTAATTCAATTAGTGGTTGATATTTATGGTGGGCCTCACACTCAAATTATTGGATCTGTCCATTTAAAGCACATTTAATTTAGATAAATCAATTTATAAATAAATATTTAAAATAATATAAAATAAAGTGCTAATTTAAATAGTTATATATCATAACTTACAAAATTACTGTATATTTATTATTACAATAAAAAACATTTAACACAAAACAATGACATAAACTTAATCCCGAAATAATAATCAATTAGTAAACAAGTCTTTACGCAAAATTAACGCTTAATTTATTTTTAAAATGTTTAAAACTTATCAATAGTAGAGTAAACAACAGTAATGTAGAGTTACTGATCACACAATTTATAAATTAAATCTACTTTTGAGTTCAGCAAATATATCAATATTAACGGCAGCGCCGCCGCACACAATCACGACCACCGGACCCGAGCCGTACTCGTTGTCCGCCAATAGTCTCTCAACTAATCCCGTGTAGAGAGCGGCCAGAGTTGCTCCGCAGGCCTTAACAGCAAAACAAAACAAATATATCAATAATTATTCATCAAAAATATCAAAACTTTTAATTATAAATACCGGTTCCACAAGAATCCTGTGGTGATCCGCAAACTTAAGACACGCGTCGACAGCATCCCTGTCCTCAACCATATGTGACAGCACTGGTGGTGCGCTCGCGTTGTACTCTTTGGCCAATTGGTCGCATATGGAGTACGTGCCCAAAGTGGTCGCTATACTAGTGATGGCCGGCAGTATCACCGGCCGAACCACACCATCGACAGCCGCCGTCACCGCCGCGTTCAACGAGTTGGCGCCCGTCGTCTCCATCGCCAGCACCGGTACGGATGTCCAGCCGTGACGTCTCATGCCCTCAATGATACCGCACAGAAGACCACCGCCGCCGCAACACGTGATGATCATCGATGGCGTGGCGTTCAGATCGGCGGCGATCTCGTCGATCATCGTTGAGTGACCCGTCCTATCGATCAGATCCGAGTGATTGTTGAGTTAGATCTTCAAGAGTTTTGGTGATAATAAAGTCTTACCACACAATGGGATCGTCAAAGGGGTGGATATATAGGGCTTGTTTGCACTCTCGGATCACTTGGAGGGCTCTGTCGTTGGCGTCGTCCCAGACGTCGCCTACGGTCTCAATGTCTGCGCCCTCTCTGGCGATCTTGTCTTTCATCATATCCGACGTCCGGTTGGGCACAACTATACGGCACTTGAGGCCCAACTGACGGGCAGCGCAGGCGGCGGCCAGACCTGCGTTACCCCCGGAGGCGCACACAATCTCCTTATAGCCATCTCTCGCCGCCTAATGTTTGGCAACATTTTTGAAGTTGTTTTGAATTTTTAATGATAATCTATTATTGAAATATATGGTAAATGATTGGCCATACCTTCTGACAAACCCGACTGATTCCCCGCATCTTAAAGCTGGCCGCCGGCTGTGCGGACTCTAACTTGAGGTACACTTTACGGGAACCGCCAAATGGTTTCAACTCAAGACTCTCGATGAGCGGTGTCTTCACAAACAGATCTTTGTGACCATTTTTTGCCATTTTTAAACAGTTTTGTAGTTTTTGGTGAACAACTTGTGTTTAACTTTTATTAGTTGTGAATGAATTTAAAACTTGAATTTAATTTTTAAGCAATAATTGTGTCACAATTTTTATATGATTTTATAAATGAGAAAGTCTTGTGTCTCTGTTTATCGTCTTAAACTCTCGTATCATTTGTTTATTGTTGTTATCATTAGATTTTATATAATTTAAAACCACTTTCGATAAAAAGTGTTGCAATTAATTAATAAATTTATATTGCAAAATAATTTTGGTTACAATAGTGAAACACTATTATAAAATCCAAAAACACACTTTATACATGATAAACATGTAAATATTTTCCCACAATTACAGGTATATCTCTTTGTTAATTTGATTGAGACTTGATAATTTGTATTGTTAAATATAAATTAGCCTTAATGATAATACAGTTTAATAAGTGCATAATATGATAACAAAATAACATATGGTTTATAGGGAAATATTAGGTTCATTAATATTTTTTGATTATATACTTATTATTAATAAGTTATTAATAATTAACCTTTGATTTGACTGTAATTAAGTTATAATCTTTGCATTCATTAATTTATAAAATAATATTTACAATAAATACCAAAAAATATTTTAAAACTATTTCAAAGTCTATGAATCAAAGTTTGTTTTACAATAATACGATTATTCGTGAAATTAGTATTGGATTAAAGTCTAATAAGAAATCAATGTCCAAATTGTGTTTCTCACTGAATGAGGACATATTTTGGACATTTAATGTATAATTAAATGATTGTATTAATTATTAATCAAATGAATTTCATCAGACATTGAAATGTCATAAAAATAAGTGCAATTCATGATAAAGTTAATATAGTATTAATAATTTGCTGATTGCCCTTAATTACATCATATTTATATAATTATAAAATATGTTACAAACTATTGATAACTTAAAACCTTTAACATATAAAGCATATTTCTATTAAAAAATGCTATGTAAAAATATATACATGATATTTATTTCATATAAATTAAATTTACATTATGATATTAATTATATGAAAATTAACTCATTATAAACTAATTAAATATCATTTTTTAAATGGATTGTCAACAAAGTGTGTCAACAAATATAATTGAATATTAATTTTTCTAATTTTAGGCAAATTTATGCAATAATTAGAAGAACCGGACGAATATAATAAACACTTTAACACTTTTTAACCAAAAGTTTTGATAATCGGTATTCACTATAATTTTTGTAATGTATTTGAATAGTAATTCTTTAAAAGGTTCTGTAATTGCAATACTACACCTTATCCTCGATTTAGGGAAATGATTGGTGAAACAGAAATGTGTCTCTTAAATCGAATTCTCCTTATATCGAATCTAATATAAATTTAATTAAAAACATCAAATATAGGCTTAAATTTGTGTTTTATTAAATAAAGTTATATTTAATTCATATATTCAGTAATTTTTGTTTGGTTTGGACACTTTGTGTTGACTAATTTAATCATTTCATACTTTATCTCTAATTAAAACATATTTCAAGACCTTTTGTCAGCCATTTTTAGGGCAAAATGTATTTTTATGAAAATAATCAACACTTTTATGCAAAACGTGTTTTTATTTACTGTTTTTAATCAACATGTTTGTACAAAACTCGTTTTCATTTACCGTTTTAAAATGAAATGTGCTTATATTGAGTACAAAAGTGCTGTGCGTGCAGTAAAATATGTCTCTTATATCGAATTTTGCTTAAATAGAGTTATTCTTATATCGAGGGCCATAATGTTAATCTCTCATAGGAGCGGTCCGTGCAGCAAAAAACTCTCCCTTAAATCGAATTATCCTTATATCGAGTCTCCCTAAATCGAGGATAAGGTGTATTAATATTACAACATTATATTGCTCACAATCTATGTGAATATTTCATTTAAATTATGTTTTTAATTAAAACTTTCAATAAGTATTACAAAAAATAAAATAATTTATTTGAAACAAAAAAAAAGTAAAACAATTATTGAATAAATTCATATAAAAACATAGTATATATAAAAACATTTGTATGAATGAAGGCATAAATCAATTTTTGTGTATAAATTACAATTGAAATAAAATAATGGCAACAAATGTAAAGATTAAAGACATCATAAAAACAATTGTCAATTAAATGCTTGTCTTTCTTGTGGGAGATTTGGTTTTAGGCATCGATGGGTCAGTTGTTTCCGACACATTAGGCGCCGATTGGCTTGACTTCAAACCCGGTTTCATATCCTGTTTGTCGGCTCTAGGGCTCGACGTTCGGCCAATCGATTGATTTGACTGAGATTTTTGTGATAAATCGGGGGTCGAGTCGGCCCGAGATGACAGGTCATCGGCACGTCGTGTAGACCCGCGATCGCGTCCCACAAGAGATACTCCACTTTCGGTTAAATCTTCAGTCGTCCCTATTGTCCAATGGATTGCATTTTTTTAAAACATATGATTTGATTACTTATTAGTTAATTGTATGCAAAATATATGTAGAAATTTGTGTTTACGATCGCTTTGTCGTGTTTTTGCCCAAACAATGAGAACTACAACAATGATAATTACGGCACAAAGAATGCCAATCAGAATCAATATAATGAGAGACTTATCACTCGTCTTCTCTGCGAAACATTCCTCTAAATAAGGCTTCGATCGCTTTAAACACTAAATCAATAAATGTTTTGTTAGTTTCGAAAGAGTTGTCAAATCTATGTCTAAATCAAGTGTTAAGACCTGTTCTTCAAATGTTTGGTTCCCATCGATGAAGCAATAGTTGGGCCGACCGTTGCTTCTGATTAACAGTAAGTATCCCACATGTGGTTCGCGGCTGTAGTCGAGGACCGCATTAATGTTTCGGCGAACGGAAACATTCAAACCGACGACAAATGAAGGTTTTTTCAATTTGTTCAAATCTACACAATCCTGTAGATCACGAGATTTCACTTCAGTTTCGGTCACTTCATAGCAGACATCCCTTTCGGCCTTTTTGTTGAGTACATAAAATGTATTAAAGGATGTGTTGACAACCGGTGCGAAGACGGGAGAGTCGTAACTCGTTTTCAACATAAACTCCCCATTGGCTGTAGGCTTTCCGGTCTTGTTTTTGCATTCAATATCAATGGTGTCTTTTAACACCTATTAATAAATTGATTATTAATTGTAATTTAATTAATGCCTTTAAACCTACAGTTTTGTATTTAACGAAACAGTTGTAAACAAAATCAACACTTTTGACACCAAAAGCATTGATAGTCTTGTTATCAATTGAATCCATGGCTTCATTTGAGACTTCAATACCCATTACTTCAGAGCCCTTCCACTTGATCTCAAACTTCCATTGACTGCCACTCCTGTACATCACGTACTGATCGTTGTCTTCATCTAACCATCGATGGTATGCCTGAATACCTACAAAATCACTGGTATTTCCTTTAATGACTTCACAAATACTTTGGCATTCAATACAATTCACACACAGAATAAGTACTAAAACTTTATTCATGTTTTAACACAACTTTCAGTCAAATGTCTGTTAAATCACAAGAAATTGTGTCCAAAAATAATGGATTGATATTTGAGTCAAAAATAACCGAAAACTCGAAGAAATCACAAAATAATAGACAATTCGATGAAAAATGTACTAAAAATTCAAATCAATGTAAATCTCGCTAAACTTATTTGTTGTGAAAATTTTATTACTGTTTTCGAAGGTTTGTCTGAAATGTGAAAATCATTGGAAAGTTATAAACATTTGTTACTGTTTTTGAATTTTATGTATTTTCTAAGTTTGCTTTTTCTGTAAATTCAAGCGTAAAGTGAATGAAATGTTAATTAATTAAACCAATAATTTGTGTATAAACTATAATTTATGAAAATTTATAATGTTTTCATTTATTAAACACAACAAGAGGTATGTTTGCAATGAAACTTCTTTACATTAATAGTGGTTAAAAATCCTGATCTCTCGTAATATTGATCCCCAGTTTTGCGATTATATTGACCACAATTTCGGGCAATTATTTGTATAAAAAGTATAGAAAACAGAAACAAATTGCGGGAAATGTTCAACAAATGAGACCAAAGTTTACTATTAGATCAGCTCTCATGAGTGATGGCAAAGACCTCACCATTGATGAGATCTATAAACAATATTTAGAGCATTTTGTGCGCATATATAACATCGGCGGTCATCTCCCAAACGGCCAAAACGCGTACACATGGGGTGCGGGCTTTGGTATCGGCGAAGACGACTGTATTGTCACCAATACTCATGTGGTCGGAGAGTCGGACAATATATTGATCGAGAGGTTTCACATTGACATCAATGATGACGTGCGCGGAGTCGGTGTCAGGGATCCTAATCGGCGACTTAGGGGTCGAGTGGTTTACTTGAATCCACGCTTAGATATAGCGATAGTACATGTGTCGAGCCGTATAATGACGGGTATAGAGACCGTAGAGTTTGCGGACACCGTTGAGACGGGCGAACACGTGATGATTGTCGGGAATCCGGCGCTCGATTACTGTGTATGCGATGGAGTGGTCACATGTGTTGGTCGTGAAGGCCAGACCATTTCGGTCGACACTCACGACTATTTCCAGAATTGGTTGGACCCGAAGAATCGGTACGTAAGCCACACGAGTCCACAATACGGAGGTTTCTCTGGCGGTCCGTTGATTAATATGAGTGGACGAGTGGTTGGCCTGAATTGGGGCGGACTCAACACTTTTCGCCATAATTTTTCCATCAGTTTCTCAGATATAAAGGGTTTGTTTCGTGTCTTTACTATCAGTTTATATATCGTATTGTTTTGTAATTCAATTTGTTTGTCATTTTAAAGGTGTTATTAAAGAAATGAAACAGTTTTTGGAGAAGAGACACACATATAGTGCGGACAAATCGCTGGGATTAAAGGTTAGGCCAATGACGAGGGATTTGTGGGAAATGATTTACGGCAAGACTTCATGGCATATAAATGAAGGACTTCTTGTTTGGGCAAATTTGACGACCAGTTCTTTAAATCAGTAATTATTTTGCAACTAATTTATAACAATTTAAAATAATTTAATTATCTGTCAATTATTTTAACCGTTTCTTATCAGTAATGATATCGAAGAGTATGATATTATGGTTGCAGTGAATGACATACCAATCAAATCTGTAAAACAGTTGAGAGATTATTGCCATAATTGTAATCCTAATGAAGTTCTCGAAATACGTGTCATCAGAAATCTCGAAGTTGTAAACCAATTGAAATTTCAAGTCAAACCCCAATCTATTGTCTCTTCAGTTATTTAATACTTTAGTTTAAATACTTTTTTCGATTTTATTTATTTTTGATATACATTTTTTAATGTTTACTCATTTAGTTTTGTTAAGTATTACATTTGTATTACACTTTATAAACATTTATTACATTATAAAAAATTTAATAAATAAATTGTACGGTATTTATGTGTAAATAAATATAAAGTTCTTTACCTAAATGAGTTGTCTCTTAAACATTAGTTTGGAAATAATTAAATGTTAAAATCAATGATAAAAAGTAACAAAACAATTAAATAATAAGAATCACGAGAAAATTATAAACATTTATTATGAATTAAATTTAGTGTATATTTCTAATGGTTTTGTGAATTCAGTTTTTAAATGTTTGAAATGTTAATTAATTAAACTAATTATTTGTGTTTGAGTTATAATTTAATTAAATGTGTAATGTTTTCATTTATTAAATATAAGATTTGGTATATATTTCTTAAATAATTATTTAAAAACTAGTACTTTAAACACATTTATAAAAAAGCGTTACATTTATCAACAGTTTTGCGGCAATAATTTCGTGCAATTATTTGTATAAAAAGTATCAAAAACAGCAACAAATTGTGGAAAATGGCCAACAATTTAAACTAATGTTTACTCTCCGATCAGCTCTCATGAGTAATGACAAAGAGCTAACCCTCGATGACATCCATAAACAATATTTATCGCATTTTGTGCGCATATATAATATCTGTGGTTATATCCCAAACGGCAATAACGCGTACTCATGGGGTGCGGGCTTTGGTATCGGTGAAGACGACTGTATTGTCACCAATAGTCATGTGGTCGGAGAGTCGGACAATATATTGATCGAGAGGTTTAACATTGACACCAATGGAGACGTGCGCGGAGTCGGTGTCACACATCCTATTCGGCGACTTGAGGGACGAGTGGTTTACTTGAATCCACGCTTAGATATAGCGATAATACATGTGTCGAGCCGTTTAATGACGGCTATAGAGTCCGTAGAGTTTGCGGACACCGTTGAGACGGGCGAACACGTGATGATTGTGGGAAATCCGGCACTGGATTACTGTGTATGCGATGGTGTGGTCACATGTGTTGGTCGTGAAGGCGATGCCATTTCGGTCGACACTCACGAGTATTTCCAGAATTGGTTGGACCCGAAGAATCGGTACGTAAGCCACACGAGTCCACAATACGGAGGTTTTTCTGGCGGTCCGTTGATTAATATGAGTGGACGAGTGGTTGGCCTGAATTGGGGCGGACTTAACACTTTTCGTTATAATTTTTCCATTAGTTTCTCACATATAAAGGGTTTGTTTGTGTATTTATTATCAGTTTATTGATTGTATTGTATTTTAATTTAATTTGTTTGTCGTTTTAAAGGTGTTATTAAAGAAATGAAACAGTTTTTGGAAAAGAGATACACATATAATGAGAATAAATCGTTGGGATTAGCCGTCAGACCATTGACGAGGGATTTGTGGACAAAGATTTACGGACCAAATATTGAATGTCATATAAATGAAGGACTTTTCGTTTGGGCAAATTTAATGACTAGTTCTTCGATTTCGTAATTATATTTACAATTAATTTATAAGAATTGAAAATAATTTAATTATCTGTCAATTATTTTAACCGTTTCTTATCAGTAATGATATCATGTATTATGATATTATGGTTGCAGTGAATGACAAACCGATCAAATCTGTAAAAAATTTGAGAGATTATTGCAATAATTGTAATCCCAATGAAGTCCTCGATATAAGTGTTGTCCGAAATCTCGATATAAGAAACAAATTGAAATTTCAAGTCAAACCCCAATCCATTGTCTCTTCAGTTATTTAATACTAATTTAAATACTTTTTTCCATTTTATTTATTTTTGATATTAATTTATTTTAGAATTTCATTTTTAACATTCACTCGTTTTGTTTTGTTAAAGTATGACATTTGTATAAACATTTATTACATTATAAAAAATTTAATAAATTAATTGAATTTATGTGTAAATAAATATATGAACTGTTATATCTAAATGAGTTGTCTCTTAAACATAATCGGAAATACTTGTGTTTAAATCATTGATAAAAAAGTAACAAAATAATTAAATAATAAGATTCAAGAGAAAATTATCAACATTTGTTACGAATTAAATTCTATGTTAACTTTATTACTAATTCTTTTGTCAATTATATTTTTTAATGTTTGAAAAGTTAATTAATTGAACCAATTATTTGTGTTTTAGTTATAATTTAATAAAATCTGTAATGTTTTTATTTATTAAATACAAGAATTGGTATTTTTTCAAATAATTATTTAAAAACTATTACTTTAAACACATTTATACAAAAACTCTAATCAAACGTTACATTCATTGACAGTTTTGCGGCGATAATTTCGTGCAATTATTTGTATAAAAAGTATCAAAAACAGCAACAAATTGTGGAAAATGGCCAACAATTTAAACCAACGTTTACTCTTCGATCAGCTCTCATGAGTGGTGATAAAGAGCTAACCCTCGATGACATCCAAAACCAATATGTGAAGAGTTTTGTCAAAATACATAACCAGTCGTTCAAACTGCCCAAAAGATCAACCCTGAGGTTTATAAGCGCGGGCTTTGCCATCGAGGAAACCGCGTGTATTGTCACCAATTGTCATGTGGTCGGAGAGTCGGACCGATTACTGATCGAGAGTTTTATCGTTGAACACAATGGAGACGTGCGGACACTCGGCTATCACATAATTTATATTTTAGTATATTTATTGCTATTTGCTTTCATTTAATAAAATTTATTTTTACAATTTTATATGCTATTTAATCGGTTGCAACAAAAAATTTAAACAAATGCCTTAAAAATACACATATGAATTACAATTATAAATTTTACATTATTTCTCGAGTTTTAACTTTTATTTAAAAATAAGTATAGCTTTTGAATTTTATTATCATTAAATAATTCAACTTTTGATTGCTATTTCTGACAAATGAATTTATGTTTAACTTTAAATATGAATAAATTATTTCCAATTGATTTTATTGTAAAGATATTTATTATCTCACAATTGACTGCAAAAATGAATGCAGAGTTTGTATCAAAAGGCGATTACAAGAATCACCAGAAATATGGCATAAATACCGATGAATGCGGTCTAAGATATGAACCGATTTTAGTTAATATAAATTATCCGCAAAAATGCTTTCAAACCAATCATTCAATGATACAAATACTGGATAAAGAGGTCTACTATCATATGAACGAACCGGACATTACATTAAATCGCATAGTGGATGGTGAGGACGCAGTGGTGTCGGGTAAACCATTACAAGCACCATGGGCTATCAATTTTCAATTCAGAGCACTGGCCGTTTTGGACACCGACAGATGTTCAGGTTCATTGATTGCTTTGAATTGGGTCTTAACGGCCGCACATTGTGTGGATAAGTAAATGATAATACCATGTGTTGATATATAGAATTGTATTTTGAGTTGAATTATATAAATACAAATATATAGTCCATGGTATGGAAAATGGGTGATAAGGGCCTCGCAGTACAGGAGCGCCGGCTTTCAGACCCGACACGTAAACCAGACATTCAAGGCGTCGAGCGGTGCGGACTTAGCTTTGGTTCAAACAGACCGACCCTTTGATCGTCTTCGGGACCGCGTATTGAAGAGACACTACTCTATAAACACTGTATGTCTGCCGCAAATGAATCGGAATTTTATTTCTGGAAATGTGACGGTATTTGGTTTCGGGTTCACTGGAGACAACTTACGCTTGCAATCGGATAAACTACAAAAGGCTATACTAGAGCTCTGGTCCTATGACTCGGTGACTGAACTGTGGTGTGACCTTAATTATGGCACTGAGAAACTTTGTGCCAAGTTTATCAAAGGCAGGCTCTGTCAGGTATAGTCAGTTTAATTGCAAGTTTTATTTATTTTATAATTTTACGAATTAAAGGGTGATTCTGGCGGCGGTTGGATACACTATAACGATCGGTACGGCACTCAGGCGGTGGTGTCGGGCGTCACAAAGTCTACTGATTTAGATGCTAACGGTATTTGTGGCCAAAGTCTGGCAATTGGTATCAATGTATCGCATGAAATACAATGGATTTTGGATACCATTGCAAACAATACTTCATAACTCAATAGTAGTAACTCATAATAATAACTTAACTGTTAAATCAATAGTAATCTTTAATTACTAATTTATATAAATTTAGTTTTGGAAATAGTTTATTTTTAAAATATTTTATCGATTTCTGTAGAATTGTATTATGAAAACAAATAATTAATTTAATTCTAAAACAAATAACGGAACAGAATTTGAATAAAATATACTGTATTTATCTTCTAGAATTCTAGGAAATATATTCTAGAATTTTTTAAAATTTAAGCATTTTTAATATAATTAATAATTTTCTAAATAAGAAATGTTTTACTTTATTTATTTCACGCGTTTTAACTTTTATTTGAATGCAATTAACTTTTGAATTTTGTCATTATTTTTCAGTTATAGTTATATGAAATCTATTTTAATGTTTGCTGCCTTTTCTCACAAATGTATTTGCTGGCGAGCTAATGCTAAGGACATGATGTTTAGCGAGCTGCCGGTGTCTGGAAGGGCCCGAAGTGGTAGCCCGTTGACCCGCACTGCCATATCGACGAGGCCTATTGACGGCCGCCCAGGTAGTTTTCCTGGACGGAAAGCTCACCTGTGTCGCCGTCGTCGTGGGCAGCCATTAGAGTGGCTTCGGGCGTTGTGCTGTTGGTTGTGCCCGTGTTCGACCGGCGCCGAGTGCACTCCCTGTGCCAGTGCCATGCCTCTACGCCAGCGTCAGCACAGAAACGGCACGCTGTTGGTGGTCGAGATCGTTGGCCGCGCTGTTGGCGATCGCGATCGGTGGCTACCATGACTGTCGGGCGCTGTTGTGCCGGTTTTGCCGTGAATGGGATTGGTTGCGGCCGCTGTCTGGGAAGGGTGGCCTCAAGTTGCAGCGCAACTCCCAACCACGCCACAGCAGTCGGCGGATTGGCACACAACAAGAGCCCGCGATAGTGAGCCGGCATCCCTTCGGTCAACTGTGCGACGACATCCTCTTCCTCGAGGTTCCGCTGGCGCAGTGACCGCATCTTGTCGTCATAATAGGGTTGGACGGTCTCTGTGCTCTTGAGGTACCGGCGCTGGGAGGCAATGATGGGGTTGACCACAGCCGGTCCAAAGCGGGCGATGAGTGCCGCGCGTACCTCAACCCAAGTCATGGCCGCCATGTTGGGTGCGATGTCGGAGGCAAACCAGTTGAGCGCATCGTCGACCACATAGGCCATTAGCGTGAAGATCCGGTCCGCGTCATTCTTGCCCCGCGTGACCACCTCAAAGAGGTTACACCACAGGTCGGCACGAATGACGGTCTTATGGCTGGCAAACTTGGCCAGCAAATTGTTGGGATTGCAGCCATTGGTGGCCGCGGGCTGAGAGCCGTTTGTTGTGGTTGCCATTGTCTGTCGGCGGCGCTGGACTGTAGGGCGAGTCGGGAGGGGGCGACCGGAGCGAAGTTCAATGGTGAACGATGTGGTGAAGTGGAGGAAGCGTTGGTGATCCTGCCGTGGATTGCGCCAATTGAGACACTTGTAGTCGAGTTTGTGGTGAAAATCACTTTTATTGAAATGGAGTCAAGAAAGCATGTGTGGGTACAATGTGTTAGGGCTTAGGTTTTATAGGGATTGATAGACAAAGGGTTAGGGAGTGAACAATAGTTAGGGTCAGGCATTGGGTTAGGAATGGGGGACATATAATAGGGGCAGACAATTAGGAGGGAGAGATGATATTCATCTCAGTATAATTATCAATAATTTTCAAGTCAACCAAATTTGTCACAACATTTAAAAACATTTAATGTTTTGCATTATTTATTTCTCGAGTTTTAACGCTTATTTGGAAATAAGAAACTTTTGAATTTTATTTTGAGTTTTAGACATAAAGACAGTTATGATTACATAAAATCTATTTAAACTTTTGCTACCATTTCTCACAAATGAATTTGTGTTTGACTTTAAATATGAATAAATTATTTTTAATTGATTTTATTGTAAAGATATTTATTATCTCACAATTGACTGCAAAAATGAATGCAGAGTTTGTATCGAAAGGCGATTACAAGAATCATCTGAAATATGGCATAAATACCAATGAATGCGGTCTAAGATATGAACCGATTTTAGTTAATATAAATTATCCGCAAAAATGCTTTCAAACCAATCAATCAATTGTTCAAACACTGGACAAAGAGGTCTACTATCATATGAACGAACCGGACATCACTTCAAGCCGTATAACAGATGGCGAGGACGCTGTGGTGTCGGGTAAACTATTACAGGCACCATGGGCAGTTAGTATTCACTTCAGAGCACTAGGCGTTATAAGCACCGACCTGTGCTCAGGTGTATTAATTGCTATGAATTGGGTCTTAACGGCTGCCCATTGTATTGATGAGTAAGTGATAATACAATTTACAAATTAGTATTTATTGATTTCAATTCATACGTATAGCTCTTGGATTGGAAAAACAGTGATCAGGGCCTCACCCTTTGCCAGCGCCGGCTTTCAGACCCGACACGTGAACCAAACATTTAACTCGTCGAGCGGTGCGGACTTGGCTTTGATTCAAACAGATAAACCTTTTGACCGACTCCGGGACCGCACCCTAAAGAGACACTACTCTATAAACACCGTATGTCTGCCCGAAGCGAACCGTACGTTCACTTCGGGAAATGTGACGGTATTTGGTTTTGGTTACACCGACGAGAGCTATATATCAGTTGCCGATAAAC